GCGCAACTTTCAGAAAATTTTCAAGTCGGAGCGCCCACGAGCGCCTTCGGCGCTCGTGCGCCCTGGTTCTTTGAACCACTTGAGCCACCGCTAGAAATGGCTCTGGGTCGGGAATAACCCACACCAAGTTTTAAGCAGGAAACCATTTCATATTCTGACGAAAATTACGATCACAACACATAGAGCTGGAATGCTAAACAATGTTTACTCGATAATTGACTTGTGCAAAGGAGAGGCATGTTTGCGAGTGTAACAGCATTTTTTTCTGTTCACACATTTTTAATGTTCCAAAGAACATCTATCTAAAGATCATATCGACAAAATTAAATAAATAGCTTCACAATTCACTTTGATGTCTTTTTTCCTATGTTTGTATCACTGCTGAATTGATTCCTTTGTATTGTAATTTATTTTCCACTCTCGAACAGTCTCATCTGAGATCTTCAGATAGTGTTCGAACGTTCGTTCGTTTGAAAAATTTGATTGTCACATATACACTTAAACACATAAGAAGCCAATTATATCAGCAATTCTATGGGGGATATTGTGAGTAAAGTATGTTTCATTGACTTTATTATGAACCTTCTCTTTCATTCTTTCTACTTAAAAATGATTAAAGACGGCTATCCCAAGAGAAACGGCCAATATGTTTATACGCTCTCTATACGCTAACAATACACTGCAATATTCACACTTATTGGACGCCTATTGAATATATTTTCTAGTGTATATTCGGCGTATGCTTCAGCGTAAACATATGGAAACATATCCAATCAATGAATGCATCCATCAACAAAGTGCGCTTTAAATGGAAAATGTTCAGCAATGAATGCTCGAACGGCATCTATACGGTATGATTTGGAAGTATAAGTAAATGCTTTCATCATAAGGTTTATCCATATGTTGGGAATGGCATTTGTCAGAAATGACATTTTAAACGTCATTCATGATTCAAGTGATCTTCTGATAGGGACAAAAGCAATGCAAACTGAACTCTGAAATGTTTTGAATTTGCTGAATATATTATTAAATAATAATCACTTCACTGTATTGGCATCCATGGCCATCAGATGCTTCTTGAATATGTTTCAATGTTTATAGAGAGCGTATGAACATGTTGGCCTTTTCTCTTGGGATGTTTATTTTTGGCGCGCCGTGGTGATTTATGCGTATTTCACAAAACTCATAAGATACAATCGATGAAACGGTCTAAAATGTTCGCCGTTTTTCTTATTTTTTTGGCCTGTTTCGCAAAAAAAGTCCAGAACTGTCCTATATTGTATTGGTTTCTTGCTTTGAAGTTCAAATTTTGTCCGAAATATAGTGAAATTTGTTGGAAATATTTAAAAAAATTACTCAACAGTTTTCTCTATTCTGTGTGTTACGGATTCAAGTTCCCTTTTTTATAAACCAATTCGAGGTCAAATTTGTATGCCTCGCGATAAAGTCTGGGATGTATTCTCAGCGATTCAATTTAGTAATTATTTTGTGAATCTGTCACAGAAACAGTAGCGATCTCAGTTGTTACTTGGCTCTTAATTTCTAATCACAACGTATTTGATACATGTATGAAAACACCAAATGCTTGCTTGAGATGAAGAATTGACATCGAGTTTACAACAACAACTCTATATAAAAATATTTATGTTTAAAACAAAAGTAAGGCACTTTAAAACAAAAGTAAGGCAACTTATTCTGAAGGCAACTTTTTGTGGCACCTGTCAAATTGTTCGTTTTAAGCAAGCTATTCAATAGCACCTTCAATGCGGTATAGGAAATGCAATAAAAACAAATTTAATTCGATATGATTTTTCCAATATTGTGTTGCATTAGAAATATTTTATTTGAATTTGATGCATTTGTTTTACCCGAATTTCGAATCGTATTTATGGTCTTTGCGGAATTCTTGACACGGTTTTATTTTATATGTTCCCATAAACACAACGAATGGTTTTGTCGATGACAAATATTTGTTCTTATTCTGTTCTTATATAAACGTTCTATGCAAATGCATGTTGCGCAATTCCAGTACCATGTATTGACATCTTGAACGTTCCTACGACATTTGATTGTAGAATGCTGTTTGAATATTTCATACAAACTCCAAAATGTTCTTTTTTATTCGCATTGCATTCAGTCTTGGTCCAGTCATTCTTTCTTGTTGTCAATGACTCAATGAATTTTCTATAATTCATTTACTTCACATAAGTGTCAATTAATATAGGCGATGTAACTAAGAACTTTTTCAAATCTATGTCTGTTGCTCAAGTCAATCATCAAAAATTCTTCGTTCGAATGGAAAAATGAAACGATTTTAATCAATTTTGAATTTTTAAAATAAAACAGCACATAAATTCAACCGAAATTTTTGAATTGAGCTCAGAAGTTGCTCAAAAAAGAGCTACTTATCGAGATGAAGTGTATACGTTTGACATCGTTGCGAACTTAACGAAAAGTTACCACACGCAAACGTCATCACAGCATCGATGTTGGTTGTGCTGAGCTTGCATTATTCAATCAGAAACAGAAAGAGGCAGACATTTTGTGTGACAATACGCAAAGAGACGATACCTTTCGCAGCAGATAAAGGGCTACGACAGTCGTAAGTGTTGGAAAAATTTCATCTATTTTAATGTTAGGATTAAAATTTCGCAGTTCTATTGCAGATTAACCACGATAAAAGTGTATGCGAACAATTGGTGTGTGTGTTTTTTTCTTCGCCATACACGCGCGAACCATTTGCTTTGCATTTAGTCATAATTCACCTATTAGCTATTATTGTTTAATTTTTTTCCTGATCAGATAATGAATCCGTTCAAAGGTGTTTCTGGTGGACGCTGCAAGCGCAAGGCAAAGTCTACGAAGGTTGAAGTCAAGCAAGAGCCTGTCATCAAAGAGGAGCTCAACGCTGGTGGTGACGTCATTGCTACATCACGGCCAGGAATTGATGGGACATATCGAGCGAATTTTAAAGGGACTTCGGACTTTGGCTATGATTTTGATCAGATCAAAGATGAAATCAAATGTGAAGAAGAAGAGACGGGCGAAGAAAAGGACTTGACACCATGTGATCGACCGAATGATAGCGCGGCCAACAATGATGACAGCGATGTGCCTATGGGTGACATATTCGATGTTCAACCACCTCAACCAGTTGGCAGTGGGAAGAAACAGAATGGAAGCTCCAAAGAGCGAAACAAACGAACGATTTCCAGAAATCAAGCGGCCAAAATGCAAAAGAAGCACAAATGCCATGTGTGCAATCATTTGGCAAGTGACAAATCTCAACTCATAGGACACTTGCGAGCTCACACTGGAGAAAAGCCGTTTCAGTGTGATGTATGTTCGAAGATATTTTCACAAAAAAGCAATCTGGATCGTCATAAGAAAACGTATGGCCAATTTCGTTGTTCAAAATGTAATCACAGATTTGAACAAGAATCAGATAAGATCGATCATGAAAGGCTATGTAATCCCTGCCAATTTGAATGCGATATTTGCGGATATATAACAAAGCAAAAATCAAGTTTGACAGTTCATATGCGGATTCACACCGGGGAAAAGCCGTTCGAATGCTCAATTTGTTTTAAGTCGTTTACAAGCAACGCTGATCTCCGACGTCATTCAATGGTGCACATCGATGAACTGCCGAATGCTTGTTCGAAATGTGGTCGAAGATTCGTCACCCCAAAAGATAAGCAAACGCATGAATCGGGTTGTCAACGTGAATCGATCGAATGTGGAATTTGCAGCAAACAATTCGTCCGACGAATGAAACTGAATCAACATTTGTTTACAGCACACAGCGACCAATTCCCATTCCAATGCTTCAAGTGCTTTGGAGGATACGCAACCGAAGATGCAAAAGAGGTTCATGAAGATAGCTGTGGCCACCGTCAGTACCAATGCCATTTGTGCAATGATTATTGTCGAGACAAAAACAAATTGAAGATTCACATGCGAAGAGATCACACCGGAGAGCGGATTCAATGCAGAGTGTGTGCTGCAAGTTTTTCCAACAGAAGTCATGTCAATCAACACATAAAAACAGTTCACCGTTTGAAGAAGGAATAAGTCACGCATCCCATAGTTTCATTAAAACGTAGTTTAGATTGAAATCCATTCCTTTAACAACATCAATAGTTTCAGACAGAATTTCATTTCAAATTTTTTCTTATATTTTCTAACGTAAAAACACATTAGATTTGAACTCCGTTTTTTTTATTGAAATAACACAGAAATAAATTTGAATTAAGATAAAAAGAAAATAGTCTTCTTCGTCACGGGGACAGTATCATAACTCTCATTATTCCTAGCATTATTCAATTGTCTGATTCGGATCGATCTCCGTTCATTTTTCCGCTTCTTGCCGAGTTTTCAGAAAATATCAGATTTTGGATAATTTCCATCAAACAAACACGGCCACAAAATTATGAATCACACGGCCGAAAATATTGAGCAAAAGATACAGGACCAACCAACTGAATTGCAAAACCAAATCATTTTCTATTGTAATTACATGTCGCATTATATGTTGATTTCGATCGATTTGGAAATTATTTCCGTGCGTTCGAAATTGACCAAACTAACCGCGTATTCTTCGTTTGCAATAGTGTGAGAGTGCGAAAGAGAGAACGAGAGTAAGAATTTATTCATGTCATAGTTTAGCACTTTTGACCATGAACACTTTTCGCATGCTCTGAAATCAGATTCACTGTCGATGAACACGGCACTAATACAGGCAGGAAAGTCGCAATTAAAATCAAACATCATTTTTTCTGGTTGATAAAAATATCATTGCGCTCGCAAGACATGCACTACTCTTTGTTACGAATATATTTACATGCCGATATAAACTCAACAAATGAATTTGTTATTGTTTGACCAACGAATTGTTTCAATCATGCGTAATTCTTCGACAGGACACAATATTCAGAATAATCCATTTACTTCGGACAAAAGTTGATAGATACTAGCGATAGAATTTAAAGTTTTATGGATTGTACAGAAGCTAGGGGGTAGGAACACAAACGCTTGAGACGAATTCGTACGAATATTCGTGAATTCTTGTGATTGTGTATACGGGACATTCGCAGCGCAGTGAGTGTATAACAACAATAACAAAGCCACGAACGCATGAATATATGCGAATACATACGAATGACACAACTTGTTCCTAGCCCCTAGTACAGAAGTCAATGACATTTCCCATAAAACAGAAAAATGTTTCAAAATAATATTTTTCAAACAAATTTGAATTTGAAACAGAAAAATTGCACATGAGTTCAACCGAAACATTTGAATTGAGCCCTGAAGTTGCTCAATTGACAGCTACCAACGGAGATGCAATGTCACTTTGCGTCGTTGAGAACTTGACGAAACACACCAACACGAATAGCACGTTTGCAATTGTGTGAATTCTAGCTTTGATGTTGTAGCTTACATACAATTCGTTGTTCTGAGTTTTCCATTGTTCAGACAACCACCGAGCTAGGCAGACACATTGGAAGATACAAGAAACAACTATTTTTAGCAGGAAACAATCGACAACAAACGTAAGCGCTATACATTTTTCCATTTATTCGGATGACATTTTTTGAGTATAAAGTTTTTTGATTCGGCCATTAGTGTTGGCCGTCGAACACTTTCGAACACTTGTTCGACCGTTCGAAAGCATTTAAAAAAATTGTTTTGTTCGTTCGTTCGTTCGAAAGTTTTGTAAAAAATTATTTTGTTCGTTCGTTCGTTCGAAAAGTTGAAAATTATTTTTTTTGCTCGTTCGTTCGTTCGAAATTTATGAAAAAAAAATGTTGTTCGTTCGTTCGTTCGGAAATTGCTATGTTCGACCGTTAGGATTTTTACATTTGAAATACATAAGAAGCAATTTTGATTTCTTTGGGTAATACTGAAGGTACAACGTAATTACCGGTGTTATTACTGAGTAATACCACTGGTAATAATTATTATCGATCTTATTACCGATTTATAAGTAATTACTAAGATGATAGTTGTTACCGATTGTTACCGTTAAGTACTTAATTAAACTTTGTACTTAAGCTTAAGTATGTACTTAACGTATGTTAAGTGCGTTAAGTACGTTAAGTACATTAAGTACGTTAAGTACGTTGAGTACGTTAAGTACGTTAAGTACGTTAAGTACATACTTAAGCTTAAGTACAAAGTTTAATTAAGTACTTAACGGTAATAATCGGTAATAACTATCATCTTAGTAATTACTTATTGATCGGTAATAAGATCGATGTATTACTCAGTAATAACACCGGTAATTACGTTGTACCTTCAGTCTTACCCAAAGAAATCAAAATTGTATTTGCTTCCTATGTATTTCAAATGTAAAAATCCCAACGGTCGAACATAGCAATTTCCGAACGAACGAACGAACAACATTTTTTTTTCATAAATTTCGAACGAACGAACGAGCAAAAAAAAAATTTTCAACTTTTCGAACGAACGAACGAACAAAATAATTTTTTACAAAACTTTCGAACGAACGAACGAACAAAACAATTTTTTTTTATATTGTCGAACGGTCGAACGAACGTTCGAAGCCAACACTATCGGCCATTAATGTGATAAATCATGAAATTATAAGATGCTCATGAAAAATTGTAACACATAACCTTACTTTTGAGGGTTTGTGCGGAGTGCACATTTGGTGCGTACTTTTTCTTTGAAAAGACACGTGGTTTGCATTTAATGGCATCACTTTTAGTAATTATCAAGTTATTGATACCCGATTTTAATTGTATTTTCGTTTTTTGATATTTCCACTGAATTCAGCAGTAAATGAATCCGAAGCCAACGCAAGCAGAAGGCAAAGCACGCAATGGTTGAAGTCAAGGAAGAGGTTATAAAGGAAGACACAAACGATGAAGGTGTCATCAACATACCACGGGCCGTGTATTCAACTTGCACACGATGCCCGCCTTCGCCATACTGATGGTTTGCTGCTCCATCGCCTCGTGAATAGAAGCCCGATCTGAATCTCATCAATGCAGCAAATGCCGCCATCGGTCAGCACTAGGGCTCCAGCCTCAAGCACCCACTCACCGTCTTCCTAAAATGTTGAAAATTGGTTCGTTAGTTGCATTAATTCAGTTGATTTTGATTAAATTCAAATTCAATTGCAAGAAATCCAAACCTTAATGGCAGCCGCAGTCAAACCAGCGGACGAACATCCCATTCCCGTTGTATGTACGGCTCTTGGTGCGATTGAAACTGCGCTTAGCAGTAGCTTGGACTTGGCCAAACCGGGATCACCAACCATCAATACATGCAATTGACCTCTTTGATGCAATCCATCATACGATTTGTTGCCGCTGATCTCACTTCCACTGCATATAGCCAAGACAAGTGCTAGTTTCACTGGATACATTCCGTATACATCCGGGCAAATCGATTTCAGAATAATATCTCGCATTCCGAGCTCACCGTGCTTGTTCAAATGTTCCAACCAGTCCGCTTTGATTGTCATCATTTGTTCCGACAGAGAACTGTCCTCGACGGTCAAGTTATTCTGTTCTTGAACCAAACTAACCGCACGCATTGAAATCATGGCTTCCGTTTTTGTTTCATCGAAAGATATCCATCGACGCTCCACTGTTCCACTGTTGCGGACGAGAAGAATGGAACGTTAAAAACGGGAAAAAAAGATTTTAATATCCAAAAAATGTCCTTACCAAATTGTAACACAATCACCGGGCTGACAGCAATCAACCAAATCTGCATCGAGTGTTACGACCAAAGTTGGCGGTATATTCTTTTCGCTGAGCGCCTCCTGAAAAAAATAATATTGTTTTCTAGGTTATGAAATTCAAATACAGATTTAAAAGGCCCATGCCTAAACGAACACGGAACATATTTTCGTTGACTTGCCTGAATTTTCAATTCTTGATAGTTGACACAATACTTTGGATTCCGTGATCCACGGCTGAGGGTTGATAGAAGATATCTAGCGAACTACGAACGACCGATCGACTTTGATTATGACTTTTATGAGATCAAAGATGAAATCAAATGTGAAGGCAAAGAGACGAACAAAGACAAAGAATCGACATCATGCGAACAATCGAATGACAGCGCCGCCAACGATGATGACAATGATGGGCCAATGATGGGTGACTCAATCGATTTTCAACCACCGCATCCAGTCGGTAGCGTAAAGAAATGATATGGAAGCTCCAAACGACGAAACAAACGAACGATTCCCAAGAATCCAGCGGCCAAAAATCCAAAGAAGCACAAATGTCATGTGTGCAATCATTTGGCATGTGACAACTTTGGCCTCAAAGTACACTTGCGCACTCATACTGGAGAAAAGCCTTTTCAGTGTGATGTTTGTTTGAAGTCCTTTGCACAAAAAATTCATCTGGTTCGTCATAAGAAAACGCATGGCCAATTCCGTTGTTCACAATGCAATCAAGGATTTGAACAAGAATCAGATAAGATCCACCATGAACGGTTATGTAATCCACGCCAATTCGAATGCGATATTTGCGGATATCTAACTGTAGTGAAATCCAGTTTGACAGTTCATATGCGGATTCACAGCGAAGCAAAGCCGTTCGAGTGCCCAATTTGTTTCAAGTCATTTACAACCAACGCTGATCTCCACCGTCATTCAATTACTCACAAAGATGAACTACCGATTGCTTGTTCGAAATGTGGTCGACGATTTGCCACTCAGAAAGATCAACAATCACACGAAACGCGCTGTGAACGAAGTGTCTTTGCCTGTAATCAGTGTCGTTACAAAACTGTTCGCAATCACAACTTGATGCGCCACATGCAATCAAAGCACGAAGCAAAAAGATCAATCGAATGCCAAATTTGCAGCCAGCAATTCGTCCAACAGATTCAACTGAATCGGCATTTGCCATCAACACACAGCGACCAATTCCCATTCCAATGCTCCAAGTGTTTCGGAGGATACGCAACCGAAGATGCAAAAGATGTTCATGAAGATAGCTGTGGCTATCGTCAATATCAATGTCATTTGTGCAAAGAGCAGAGCTGTTATAGGCACCCAATCGGTGCCGGCACTTAGATTTTGAGTGCCGCACCTAGTACAATCACAAAAAATAAATTTCGATAAATTATAATTTCATATTTTTATCAGCAATATAAAATCATATTATTTCTTTCAAAAACTAGCAAATTTGAAAATTTTCAAAAAAACTCAAAAATTATACTTTCAAAAAAGCTCGGTGCCGCACCGATTCAAGTGCCCGCACTTTTGCAGTGCCTATAACAGCTCTGGCAAAGAGCATCGTCCAGACAAACACAAATTGAAGGTACACATGCGAAAGGATCACACCGGAGGGCGGATTCAATGCAAAGTGTGTACAGCAAGCTTTACTGATAAAAATAACGCCAGCCAACACACGAAAATAGTTCACTGTTTGAAGAAAAAGTAGATCATGCATTCAATAGACTTCGACATATCAATATTTCATGATTCCTACAAAAAGAAAATATCTTCCAGAAAAAATACTTTCTCACCAAGAATTTGAATCGTAATAACGAACATACATCCGAAATACAAACAAAATTCAATATTTTCCAATTCCAAAATTCATATTTATCGCTTTAGAT